GTGAAATGGCAATTTTATTTCGCGTTCTTACGTGGAGATACCCCCCTTTACGCCCCTCATTGATATAGTTGTGCCGCTATACATGCGCATACATTATTTTCGATTCAATCGTACTAGTTTAAACCGATCTCTGCGTTCACATTTAAAGTAAGATCTAAACTACCTCTTTTGGTGTTTTAGTTTAGACCGATTGAAGATCGATTCAACGCGTTCACATTGGCCCTTAAATCGATATAAAGTGAACCGATCTAGTTTAAATCGATCTAAATGTCCTAGTGTGAACGGGGTCATAGACTAACGGAACTCGAGCAATACATTTTTTGTGTTACGCAGAATAAAACCGGACATTTCAATAATTTGCAGTTTTCAACCTTTGATCATGTAGATGAAAATTGGTCAGTGGCAACTGGGACCTTACAAGTATTCCGGCCTTATATATCGGTATATGCTATTATCCCTCAATACCACATGCTTTGCGGCGCAAAATATTTGGCTTGACCAAGTCGGGATTTTGCCTAGGACACACATCCGCAGTCTACCGGGCAGTTCCAAACACTACCAGTTAAAGACATTATATATACACAAAATCTATACTACTTACTAGGTTCAGGAAAAGTTGGGATTGTAATTTTAAAACTCCGCCCAGTACACAGGAACGCTATAATAGTCGGTGATATTGGCAAACTTTAAATTCTGTCTTACTTTTTTTTTCAAAAGGGAAGCTAATAAGGAAAGTTCTTGATTTAAAAAAATTAAAGTGGAGTGTGTCATTGCGGCAAGAAATATGCATGACAACTTTTTTAATGATGTGTGAACACTGGTTTGAACCACCTGCTAGCTGCAAAGAAACGTAATTATCGGCCTATGGTGATAATATGGAGATGCAATTTTTTTTAATATTGACTTTTAAATTTGAACTTTGGTGGATAGTTGTCTCATTGGCAATCATACCACATCTCCTTATTTTCATATCGTAGGGTGTAGAAATATGACTTCCCCAATCTGACAGATAATCCCTTGCTATGACAGGTTGTTCATACAGCTGGATGTATAAATACCTCGGGGGGGGGGGGGGGGGGGGGGGGGCACTTCAATACTTAATTGATAGGGGGTGCCGCTGGGGCCCACCTTTTTCAAAAATTTATATTTCAAAAATTTATACCTTTTTATATATTGCATAGGTAAAAATGTAACCTTTTCCCTATAATGCTTGGGTTTCATGTAGTGTAATGTAAGACTAGAATACCAAAGTCTTAAAAGAGAAAATTTGGTTGATAAAATCACGCCCGGGAACACCAAGAAAGATGACAGACGAAGAAGTTATGGAAACTTTATATATTGACCTTATCATATATTTTTGATAATTTTCCCAACCTATTCACATATTTTCAAGCTTGAAAAGGTGACCAATTCCAGTGACACGTCCCATCACCTTGAATATAGGAAGTGCCCCCTCCCCGCCCCCACCCGAGATATATACGCAGCCTCGTATGGTAAAAAGGAGGAATTTTGTCCATACCAAGCATGCATTGTCCATTTATTTTCTAGCGGCAGTCCATATAATTTTTGTGTTAACAAGAGTGCACAAGCTGAAATGTCTCACCTGCTTTACTAATCATCATTCATGATTGGTTTTATGTTGATATTCCTAAAGATAAAGTTTCACTACAAGTATCAGAAAAAATAATATTATCAATGATCATGAAAATGATCAGATAAACCAATCCAAGCCAGCCTTACACAGTGGCAGAGCCAGAATTTTTCATGAAAGGGGGGGGGGGGGGGGCTGACTGCCTAAGAGAGGCCTGCTCCAGTAATGCTTCGGTGATTCCCTATATAATCAACCAATGGGCCCTCCCCCTAAATCCGCCTCTGTTACAATCACCCCATCAACCAAATATTTTAAACATATAAATAGTATGCCAGTAACAGACCAAACCATGAACATAAGGTTAAGTTCAGATAGACCCTGCAAGACAGGCATATTTGTTTTTTATTCATTATTTTGTACATAAATCATGCCGTTAGTTTTCTCATTTGAATTGTTTTAAATTGTACATTTGTCATTTGGAGGCCTTTTATACCCAACTATGCAGTATAGGTTTTACTCATTGTCGAAGGTCGTATGGTGACATTTAGTTGTTTATTTCTGTGTCATTTGGTCTCTCATATCACATCTTTTTACTTAATATTTCAATATATACATTTAATAACCATACCATACACCAAATATAATAACCAATTGATTACACAATGTAGCATGTTAAAAGAGGACTTACCATTGACCAATGAACCATGCAAATGTGGTCAATGACAACTGCCAGACAGACATGTACTCCTTACATTTGTGAATCATTGCATACATATAGTTTATCTACTACATGTACTTTTAGTATTAGAAAAAACAGACAAAAACATGACATTGACAAATGACCTATTGCTAACAGTATCTGATAAACAACCCTAATCAGGTAACTTTAACCTTGATCACTGATCCATGAAATGTGCTTGAGATCTTTGTAGCAATCTGTATTAATTTGAGTGCATATCTAAATTTACAAAACAATATTAATCTGGATCATTGTGATACTGTAAATTTAGAAATTATTGAGAGGTTATTATTAATGCAAATAATGCGACAGGGTGAATATCGCAATAATAAGAACTTGCATTCTGATAACTGAATTATAGATCTTTATGCAGATTTTTTTTGTAATCGCAATAATTAAACTCGCAATTTAGTCCATTCGTCAAAAATTGCAATAATAAATGCGTGCAATAATTTCTGAATTTACAGTAGGTAAAAATGTTGTCAGTTAATAGTGAGACACAAGTTTTCCCAGACAAAATATAATTATTTTGGTTGTTTTGTTTGGTTGCTGTCTCATTGAACAAAACTGTATTTTATTTCTCCTTTTATCCAGAAAATATAACTTTTGAAATAGAAACTGAATAGCATATGGATGGAAAACAAATGCCAAATGATGTAAAATAATTCAAGTGGCCATTTAGGTCAGGGGTTGGTGAGGTAAAAGATGAGGCAAAGGCATGTGCATTTACCACAACTGCCACTTGGTATTATGATTTCCAAAATTTACAAATCTCATAGCTACCTTCTGTATTAAAGACAACTGCATATATTGCAGTTTGCATATCATGAATTGTGTTTGCAGCAAAATTCACTACAGACAAACAAAAAATTAATTCAACTCTATTTAAATTCATTTTTTGAAACATTTTTGATTTTTATTCCTAAAATGTCTATGAGATCAAATTTATAAAACATTTATTAGCATTGTAAATTTCAATATACTAGTAATTGTTGACATGTATACATCATGTACATGTACAATCATTAGCTGATCAGCTCTATATTTTCATTATTTTTATATCAATATTCTTCATCAGTGTTTTTTTATAAGACTCAATAATCTGTATTCATCATTGGGACAGGTAGGTAAAGTAGGTCCTTTTGATCTTGGATTTTTTTTAATGGATTTTGACAGCACTAAAGCATACAGTTCCAAATTATAGTTGATCTTGGCTTCTTAAGTGGATTCTGACAACACTTTGCATATAGACACCAAGTTTAGATGATCTTGGGTTCTCTCATATGGATTCTGACAGTACTTTTATTATACATGAAGTTCCAAGTATTGTTGATCTTGGCTTCTAATGTTGTTTCTAAGTTTCTGCACTTTACATATAGTTCTCAATTGCAAGACAAAATGATACTGGTTTCTCGTGTAAATTCTGTCAGTTCTTTGCCAATAGTTTCCAAGTAAAATTGGAACATTCCAGGATCTTTCACAACAAATCACTCCTTCCTCTTACATGTACTTGAAGCCTGAAATTAAATGTCAGAGTAATTCTGTCAGAAAATCAACCATGATTGACATTTAAAAGCATAATGTAGTTCATATTTTAATTATAATAAACGGGGAATGTGTCCATGGGACACAGATGATGCCCCCCACTTGCATATAAAGTTATAAAGAAGCATAACTAAAGAACGGTAAGAGTGACACTACCCAAAGTTTTACTTGATCTGAATTTTGTTGTAATAAGTAATGTGTATAAGTTTCATAACATTTGAAAATAGTGGAATTAATTACTTTTGGAGTGTCAAGAACTCGTTGGAAGTACTTGATAAATTACATGCATATATTGGTGATTTTTAATCTGTTCAAAGTTTTGATTTTTCTACCCTATATACCACATTGCCCCACATTCTCATTAAGAAAAAATTCACACACCTAATTAAATGGGCATTTAAAAAGTCAGAATGTGAATATATATGTTCAAACTCTTTTAGGTCATTTTTTAGTAGCAATAAACAAAAAAACTATGTCAATTGGACATGCTTTGATACTATATATGCCCTTGAATTTTTACTAGATAACATTTTTGTTTGCTTTGGAGATTCCGTATATCGTCAGGTTATCGGAATTCCAATGGGGACTAACTGTGCACCACTTATTGCGGACCTTTTTTTGTATTGCTATGAGTTACAATTTATGACAAAAATCAGCAAAGACCCATCGAAACAACATCTGATACACAAATTTAATAATACTTTTAGATATTTGGATGATATTTTTGCTCTCAATAATGACGACTTCCTCATGTATACTAAAGAAATTTATCCTGTTGAACTTACTTTAAATAAAGCTAATACTAACAATGACCACTGCCCTTTCCTCGATCTTGATATCTATATCATTAATGGAAAGCTTAATACTAAAATATATGATAAATATAGATTATAACATGGCATTTTTCATATCAAACCCCTTATCAGCCCAAGAGCCGCAGGCTCGAGGGCTGATATGACCGAGGGCTGATAAGGGGTCTGATATGAAAAATGACATGTTATGATCTTTTTATCATATATTTCAATATTAGTGTATAAAATGTCCGAGTTAAATTTTGGTAAATTGCCTGATACAAAAAAGGATGAAAAGTGATTTTTATGTCATTGGGTCAATATATTGATACAGTCATGATTGAAAATTTATTAAACAAGTTTAACATGAAACAAATTTATAATAACAACACATTTTATTGTAACAATTTTCAATATGTGAGTATTAGTTGTTATGCTGGAAAGTTAATAGTAACATTTCCCGTGATCGTCGCCCCAGCAAACATCTGTACGGCCCTCCCTTTATAATTATCGTGAATAATCTCTGGCATATCATTAGACATTTGAGCAGGATTTGGCTCATCAGTTACTGTTTTCTCAAAGTTTGTAATGTCTTTTAAGACAACATCTAACTCTGCTTCCTGAGATGCGGACATCAATACTTCATCCTCGTCATCTGGCATTTCAACAATTTCATTCATGTTTTCATCATGTAACTTGTTAGATTTGCGTTTTTTGTTTTCAACAGTCATTCCGGTTCCAACAATTGATAAAATGTTCGACATTTCTCGTTGTTGTTCTATTGAGGCAACACTATAAGAATTTATTGACTGAACATTTTTGTGCCCACTGAGCTGTATTATACGAGTATCAGGGATGTTTTGGTGTACTAAAGCACTCGCAGTCGTTTTACGTGCACTGTGATTTGTTTTTCTGCCCTGTATTCCTGCTTCTTCACACATTACTTTAACAAAGTTATATAAAGTGTTCTTTCCCATTGGTTGCCGTGAATACCAAATATCATCTTTTATATTCCTGCTAATGCCCAAATAAAAAGGACTCTCGTTTCCAACATATCTTCAGGTCTGTGTTTAATATACTGCTTATAAACTTCCACTGGACATCTGGTATCCTGAAAAAAATATACATATTTAATTCTGGCATTGATATATATAATTAGAAAGCATAATCATACTGCATGAAATGTATGTATTGCATTTGAATGTATCATCTGTTTGCATACAACATGTCCAAAGTGTAAATCCACCAAAACAAAATATGAGTAACAATTGATAAACAAAGATCATGTTACCTTTGCATATATCTACAGTGTAAAGATTGATATTTAGTATTCATAGCACATTATTCATGAATGTTATTTTTTTACAACCAAAATATGAATACTGCCTTTATATAATATATAAAATATGTATGTACCTGGATCTGCAAACATCTTTGCTTGAAAAGCCCTTGTTTCCCTGACATTAGCACCAGTTCTCGTCTTGGTTACCCTTTCCGTGTGCTCCAGATACTGAAGCCCATCAGTTGTAGATTTCATCTGCAGATCACCCCATCTTAGTGTAGAATGTTCTTCACGAGACCTCAAGCCAAAATGCAGACTGTTGTTCAACCAAACTGTTCGAATCAAGGATTTGCCATTTGCTGAAAATAATATAACTTAATATAAATGTCTTTTACAAACAACACAGAGTTATATATGTACAAGGATACTTTCATGAATGAATTTGCCTACAAAAGACTTCATACATGTGGTACAAATTTGTAAAATAGCATAGCAAAAGTTTGAGTGACGGTTGAGAAGATAGCATTCAGACAAGACTATATTATATTGCACTGACACTACAAATATTTCCCCATATACTCATCTACAATTCAATAAAATAGAAATTTGGCTGTTTACCTGGGCCAAGAAAATTCTTCTCATAAAGTACATCAATTTCCTCTGCCGTGAATGGACCTGCACGTCTTTTTTTTTATCCCATGCCCATAGATTTCAGGTCCTTTGTCTTTGCTGATAAAACCTCTCTGGAGTGATGGAACTCCTTGTCTTTTACAATACTTATGTTCCTTGTATCCATTAGGTGTCTTGAAATACTACTTTGAAAGGATTTAATAGTACTAGGTTCATAAGGACTGCCATCATCTTTCGTGATTTTCATAAAAAAACCTTGCCAATATTTTGTCCAATTCCATGACGGGAATATCATCCAAACTTCTAATATCAATATTATCCCTTATCCGTCTGGTAAAAACATTGATATCACTGAGTGTTTTTCTAATTGTGTTTGCATTTTTCAATGAATTAATGTAATCTGTAGTTTCGTCACCGCTGTCGTCTGACATGTTTTTTGTTTATGTTTCGTAAGTAGTGAGTCGATTACGGAAATGACTGATAAGGCGAATACGGATTGAGCGTGTGATAAAAACCGGAAACAGTTGATAACAACCGGAAGCAGTTGATAACAAAAGTCATATCACACGGCAAAGACAATTCTTCAAATTTAATGAATAAATATGTACAAGTAATAGTTTATCAAGGGGTACAATTTAACCATTATTTTTCTATAAATATCTGATAAAAGAGATGATTTTTCATTTCCTATCGTTAATTATCCATTTTTAGATGGTGACGTTCCCTTGTCACCATCTTACGGTGTTTATATATCTCAACTTGTACGATTCGCTCGTATATGTAACAATGTTTTAGATTTTAACGAGAGAAATTTATGTATTACTGAAAAATTATTACACCAGGGTTTTCGATATCACAAACTAGTCAAAACATTTACTAAATTTTATCATCGGTATAAGGACATCATTCGTAAATATAGCTCAACATGCAGACTTCTTATACGTTCAGGTATTTTACATCCAATTTTTATGAAAATATTCTTTATAAAGCACAAAAATGTCAGTATTCACCTCTGAAGCTAACAAAACCTTTAAATAGACTTATTAAGAAGGGATATAGTTACGATACTGTTGTCAGGTCATTAAAGATTGCATATTTTGGCGTTAATATTGATTCACTTATAGGGTCTTTGCATCGGCACTAAACACATTTATTTAAAAACCAGTTGTTGGCATGACACGGGTTATGTTCTTCTCATATATGTTATGATGGTATGATACTAAACCCCTAACGGGAAGGATTGTGCCTGATATTCATATGATGAAGACATAATCTTTCAATCAGTTTAATTGAAGTCTGGAGCTGGCATGTCAGTTAACTGCTAGTAGTCTGTTGTTATTTATGTATTATTGTCATTTTGTTTATTTTCTTTGGTTACATCTTCTGACATCAGACTCGGACTTCTCTTGAACTGAATTTTAATGTGCGTATTGTTATGCGTTTACTTTTCTACATTGGCTGGGGGTGTGGGGGGAGGGTTGAGATCTCACAAACATGTTTAACCCCGCCGCATTTTTGCGCCTGTCCCAAGTCAGGAGCATCTAGCCTTTGTTAGTCTTGTATTATTTTTAATTTTAGTTTCTTGTGTACAATTTGGAGTTTAGTATGGCGTTCATTATCACTGAACTAGTATATATATTTGTTTAGGGGCCAGCTGAAGGACGCCTCCGGGTGCGGGAATTTCTCGCTGCATTGAAGACCTGTTAGTGACCTTCTGCTGTTGTCTGTTCTATGGTCGGGTAGTTGTCACTTTGACACATTCCCCATTTCCATTCTCAATTTTATTTGGATGAGGCAAACTAAAGTTAGAGAACGGAAACAAAAAAATTCAGCAATTTTTCCATTTGTAAAGGGGCATAACTCTAGAACAGTAAAAGTGACACCACCAAAAAAATTCAAACTTGATCTGTGTTTCTTGGTAATAAGCATTGTGTATAAGTCTCATAACATTTGGTTGAGGCAAACTGAAGTTAGAGAACGGACACCAATTTTGGGACATACGTTCAGACAGACAAGGGTAAAACTTAATGCCCACTCCACTACGGCGTAAATAAATGAAGAATTTGTGGCAACAATAATGAGCAAACAAAATAAAATTACATGCACAGCAAGTGTAAATAGTGATTTTGTTTTTATATATATATATGTTGAATACAGACTTCTCGGGGCTTGCTGTTTCGATGCCAGGGACAAGTTATTTCTATGCCTAAAAATTCTAAAATGCAGCGGAGCTACATTTGTACTCCTCGTCAACCAAATTATGCTGAGGTGTCTTGTAACCTGTTTGGAATATGGGATATACAAATTTTGTGTTTAAAAATACTAAGCACAAAACAATAATGAATTTTTCAACTCAAATGTATGTGTTATTTGGTAAACAAGATAAGCCCTACGTGTATGTTTAAACCTGATACTTGACGTTATAGAATTTTTTTTATACAAAAGAGAGACAGGGGGGTGGTGTGTGTTTAATTGTAAACAAATTGTGATCAAGACGAATCCACCAATAACATGTATTGCCTCGTACTGTAGTGGTTATAATTTACAAATCAGGCCATTTATATTCTCAAGAAAACAAACGAAACAATCGAACCCCTTGAGCGGGTGGACAGGAGTAAGGGAACATGGGAATGAGGGATCAGGAAGCGAGAAAAGGGGGTATCATGTGCAGGTCCGTTACCGTTAGTTAGCCTGGTCTGAAGTGAAAATAAAAGTAACCAATTTGGTAGAAGTAAATCTTATGAAGATTATAAATAGAAAAGAACCCTTTGATCTCGTGTGAGTCACTTTATTTTATTGTTATAGAACTATACTAACAAAAGCATGATTTAGATAAAAATGATTGGTACAAACAAACTCAGGGTGGGAATGTAAAAGGGATGAACGTGTATTGGAGCGAACATGGTTTTGGGTGAAAGGACAAGAATTCAAAAAGAGGGGGGGATGAATAATCTGGGAAATATATTTTGCAATTTTTTTGTCTGGAGGCAAGGGGGATGGAAGTAGAAGTTAAAGGAGAAAATTTTAGAGTAAAAGGGAAGAGAAATGGGAGTTGGGGATAGGGAGTGGTAATCATGAACCCCTGCCCGAGGGAAGTTATGGGGTACCCCCATTTTACAGGTTGGGAACAAACCCTCTATATGGTGTTCAGGGGCGGATCCAGCCATTTATAAAAGGGGGGGTTCCTAACCCAGGATAAAGGGGGGTTCCAACTATATATCCCCATTCAAATGCATTGATCGTCAAAAAAAAAAAGGGGGGGGGGGGTATAATCCCTCTGTAGAGGGGTATTTTTGTTTTAGACTGGATTTAAAGCAAAATAGGGCAGAATGGCATTTTCTACTTATTATGGCAGTAACCTGCTACATTTGATGCACCAATTGATGTACTTAATTTCATTTCACATGCCCAGTTTACTGCATATGACTGAATATACAATCTATTGTACACCATAATTGAAAGCTGTGATGATCAGGTAAATTCCACTCAGTTATGCCTCACTGAACAGAATTTCTATTGTTAGATTTAACAAAAAATTTAAAGGTCAACTGCATGTCCCTTTTGTTGTAGATCAGGTGTTCAGATAGGTATACAATAGATTGCAAGTTCTGTCACCATATAGAGGGTTTGTTCCCAACCTGTTTTACTAGTCATTATAGACGCAAACAATAAATATTTAACTTCATTTGACCCTAACGTGGCTACGAAATTAGATTTTACGAATGACGATATAAAATCAGGACTCATTTGACGCTAATGATAGCGCAGATCATGAGATGCTGAAAATGACCATCCCCTCCTCTTTGACTGTTTCCTGATCCTGATCCTAAGGTCAAAAATTGACACGACTTGTCTCTCTTGTACAGAATATTCCTCATACGATGCACCATTTCTCCTGGTAATTTTTCATGTAGTACTTTGAAAAGTTAGTTTAGGCGCAGGATCGGGTATCAGGACTTGCTAGTTCCTGAAAACGCCCTGATTTAGATATATATTCCCCTGTAATTTGTGCAGTTTTTTCATATGTTTCTCTCTTTGATGGTGAAAGTAGTGATTGAGTGTCCAGTGGAATGTTAACTATTTCCAGTTGTCTTTTTTAAGTCCTCTCTTTCTTGGTGGTATCTAGGACAGTATATCAAATAGTGTTCTGTTGTTTCTTCTTCTCTGCATTCACAATATGGCGTGAGGGATTGACCTAATTGGTTTCTGTATTTGTTTAGTCTGCTGTAGCCTGTTCTTAATTCCGATAGTATTCTTCCAATTTGAGTGTTAGGGAAGTCTAGTTGAACTCTTTTTCCAACAATAGGTACCAGATCATAAAGGTGTCTTCCTGTTTCACCAATTGTCCATCTGCTTTGCCATTTCAGTTTTGTAGACATCTTGACTGCACTTCTGACATCCGACATAGTTATGACATTATATTGTTCATTTAGTGATGAGGCCTCTTTTGCAGCATCTTTCGCCAACTGGTCCGCTATCTCGTTCCCGGCTATATTAGCATGGCCTGGGATCCAAGATAGGGTTGTTAGTATGCCTTCTCTCAAGAGTGTCCCCATACTTTCTTTAATGTCTGTTATGGTATCTAGGTAGTTTGAAGATTTCCAGTGCAAAGTCGAGATGCCTACAGCAGTCTGGCTATCTGATAATATTTTGACCTCAGAACACTGGTCCTTAATTGACGTAATACAGTGCTCCAGAACCATAAGAATAGCTACAAGTTTGGCAAGTAGTATTGATCCTCTGTTAGCTACTGGCCTTTTTAAGCTTACGCCATGGCTATTTCCGGAATATACTACAGCCCCCGCTCTACACGGTCCTGGATTACCCTGACAAGAGCCGTCAGTGAATGCCACTATAGTTGAGTCGGTACTGTCTCCTAGTAGGTCCTTTACAACCTCTTTACTTTCAACAGTTTGTTCTGCAGTTCTGTTCTTTGAACTACCAAGTCGACTCCAGTAGCTTGGTGCTCTCATCAGCATAAAATCTGCGCCAGCTTTGTATGTAAATTCTGGTTCACGGATATTTTTCAAAACAGGCTATACATGTTCACAACTTGCCAGTTAACAGATTAAGGGTCAAGTAAATACATAAATAAGATACCAACCATAACGATTATACATAGAACAGATATTTAGCCCATGCAAGGTTTCAGCCGCAGTGATTTTCTACAGTAGCGAGTATTTTGAGATAACCCCCCACTTTGTATTTTTCGTGATACTGATAACATTTGGCTGTCTAATATATTAAAATCTATGTTTTCTTATGTAATGACTCTACCTTCATCGTTGTCTATTCGCCACTATGTCTGTTATTCATGCACATGGTCGTATTTATCAGTGCAGTATGCTGCTCAGCAATGGCGACCCTGAAATTTATGTTGTCCGATTATGGCGCCAGATTAGAGGGAAGCAACTCGCGCCAGACAAAATTACCGTATTTCACCAAAATAATCAAAATTTCGCTTTTTTATAACAAACAGTAAAATGTTCATCACATTTATATTCAGCTTTCGTCCATTGATATAATTACAAACATTATTTATTTAAAGACATCAATAAAAAAAAGATCACAATAAAGTAATTAATGGAGTGCATTGAAATCAGACCTCATGGGGTAAAGGGGTTAAGCAAAAGCTCGTAACTTTTTTAAAAACCTGGTGACCCCCATTTTATTTTACCTTAAAATGCTCGAAAACTTCATAGCTTTGACATATCCGTTTTTAAAAAAAATCTACCCGGGAAATTTTACGAAAAATCGATTTAACCAATATTTTTAGCCTTAAACTGAAATTAAAAAATGCCAAATTTAGACATAAATCTGAAAATAAAAGGATTTTTAAGTCTAAAACAACCAAGGGGAACGTTTACATTTCAAATTTAATTGTTTTTTCACATAATAATCATACTGACATGGTTCTAAAAGTCTTTGATGTAGTCGTTATTGTTGAAAGGGTGTAAAAGTTTGGAAATAGGGTCAAAATCGCACATTTCGCTTCCATTTGAGGGGAAAACGAGCCTAGTGACCCCCTTTTTTTCTTTGCATTTTTGGATTCAGCATAAAAAAATCTACAAAATATGTGAAAATAAAAAAATTCTACCGGGGGTCCATATTGGGGTGAGCCACCTTAAGCGTGAAGGCTGCTGTAGAAACCGTTTTTTTAATAATAAATATGCAATTTTAATAGGACACATTTGCCCTGTTGTTCAGATCAAAAGTACCTGTTTTTGTACTATCAAACTTCCGCGAAACAGTGCGCTCTAATATACAATTAAAGGTATGTTAAATTTTTCAGCACAAGTCAGGATAAGGTATAGTTTTGACATGAAATGACTGCCACTTTATTTGAATATAAGACAAAATAGCTATTAATGCTTGAAATTGCAGAATTTAACATAGAAAGCATGAAGCTATGACTTTGTGGTTTTACACCTTAATAATTGACTTTTTCGTGAGTTCTATTAGAAGTTCCCAGACGCCTACAAACCATGGTTCTCTATTAGGTATGAATTTTCATTCAGTTCCATTATCGACAAGTGTTTCTTAGATACGGTTGTCTCGGTTCGGTCTTGTTATCTTTTCGGCGGCTGCCTTGAATGTTGTTGCGTTATCGGACCACAAAATTATTGAAATAGATCGTATGACAACAAATCATTTAAATGCAAGCAAGATTTCCAAGTAGTGAAGTTGAAATCGTCCCTTCGTAAATTTTACGAACGCCATCACCAGTTGGTTGACCGTTATGGAATATCCGTTTCACGAATGACAACGGATATGTTTCAATTGTCGTAACTGCAATCCCGTCCCTCTTTCCCGAATGTGACCTACATGTACCGAATTAGACTTATCACCGGGTTTGTACTAACATGAGCAACACGACGGGTGCCACATGTGGACATGATCTGCTTACCCTTCCGGAGCACCTGAGATCACCCTCAGTTTTTGGAGGGGTTCGTGTTGCTCAGTTTTTGGTTTTCTATGTAGTGTTTTGTGTATTATTGTTTGTTGGTTTGTCTTTTTCTTTTTTAGCCGTGGCATTGTCCGTTAACTTTCGACTTATGAGTTTGATTGTCCCTTTGGTATCCTTCGGCTTTCTTTTTAACGACGTAAAACTGTGGTGGCATAATAACGGATATTTTGTATCCTCCTCTACAGGTGCGTTATGTATTCTCCCGATACATCGTAGTAATCCATTATTATCTAAACACAATTTAAGTTGTCGGTCAAGACTTAGTGGCACTTCTTTCTGTGAAGGTAAACTCAAGCTATCAATTTCATCCTTACATGTCTCCTGTTGTACGGCTCCTATAAGATAGTGTAATGCTTTATATCGTTCCTTTACACTGATTAATTCGATTTGTCGTTTTTCTTTAGGATCGCGCAAGTTTTGGATAAAACATAAGACGTAACAACTAGCTGACTGTATCTCTTATTGCTATTTCTAACTAACTGTATCGTTGTATGTCTATAAATGGAATCGTCAAGCTATATGTTCAACCTTAGATGTTTCTTGTTGTACGGCTTCTATAAGAAAGTGCAATGCTTTATATCGTCCCTTTACACTGATAAATCCGATTTGACGTTTTTCTTTCGGGTCGCGTAAGTTTCGGATAAAACGGGACGTCATGCACTTGAACCCCATGGTTTATTTGGATAAGAATATGTCGTCGTTTACAAAGCAAATGAAGAGTGTCATTTTAGAATGAACAACTAAGCCGTATAAAACTTTATTTCAGGTTGCGAAGATGGCTGGTATAATTGGCAAGGGGGAGGCACCTGTTACAAAGTTTCTGCTTTTAATGATACGAAAACCCAATGTGAGGCTGCTGTAAGTAGATTTGTGCATTATATATGCAAATAAAATGATTAAAGGGATCGTTACAATCTAAAAATAAGAAGATGTGGTATGGTTGACTATGAGACAACTCTCCACAAGAGACTAAATGACGTAAAATTTGCACTACTAGGTGACCGTAAGGCCTTCAACTATGAGCAAAATAAATAACCGTATAACAATTAAGCTATGAAGGGCTGATATATAACAAATATAAAACAATTCGAAAGAGGAAACAAGCGGCCTGATTAATGTAATTATTTTTTCATAGATAGGGCCTATTCTTCTAATGCAAAATTTTAGACAAGCATGCCAAGTAAAAGGAGTAGGTCCGGTAAGGGCCGATTTTGGCCTCAAATTTCAGGTTCATCTGATGAAAAATTTTGGACACTTTTTAAATACGTAAGTGTCTACTTCACTCAATTCAATTAGTTTATGTGAAAGATTGGAACTGATTTAGTCATTAAAGACGCTCAAATTCAAGTTTGAATATGAAAAATCTATCAAATTTGCCATAATATGTCACTTTTCAGATGGTTTTTGTCAAAAATGAAAGTGGCCGCATCCGTGTTCACTCTCAACTTTTATATATGTTATGTATTATCATCAAATACAACTTACATTTAAATATTAACCCTTACCATGTTGAGCCCGTCATATGACGGGATGACCCAAACCACCGTTATTTGGCTCCAATGGCTCTCCATACTTTTAGAGGTCAACCATGTGATACTTATTTCGAAATTGATGCATGTTCCCTCAACCTGAGACTATCTATTGTCATGTTTCTCATGTTTAAGTTGCATTTTGAGCTCAAATACGAACTTGGAAAATTGAAATCGGATAAAACTGGTTTTTCTGGAGGGGTGGGCTTCCCTTCTGTGTCTTACATAGGACGTTCAGAGGCCTAAAACTTTCAAAAATAGTGTGAACCCGCAGGCATATATCTACTGATCATAATTAGTATTGAAATACGCAGAGGAAACGACTACTTCCGGTTTCAGGTCGATTTGAAGTCCAAAATCGGAAAAAATCGTGAAATTCCGTATTTTTTTTCCAATGACCTTCTTCAGACTGGTGTTCCCAGGTCAGTTTCACTCCAACCTGAGAACTGTTGGGGTTAATGTGTTTACTGGGGTTCACTGTACATGCAGACTACAGCTGGATACCTATATCAGCATCCCTCGGTCTTTGGGGTCAAGAAATAGGACAAAAAATCGTCAAAAATGACGCTTTTTGCACCTGATGAACAACTTTTGGGCAAATTGCCGCCCATCCACCCCCACCTCCTCACCCCAACCACCCCGCCCCGTGATCCCCTACCTTAGATTTAAAGAAATCAATATGCTTCAGCAGCAGGGTAAAGCTCATTTGCATATAATTTGCATATTTTTGCAATTAAACGAAAATTAGACTTTTTCTGAAAATAGTTCAGCATGGTAAGTGTTAAGGCCATTGGTGGTAGAAATCCATTTTTCCAGTTTTAGCCTCAATTTGTATGTTTTTTCATCTTATTTTAGGTCAGAATAGGTTATCAAGATCTCCAGATAGACGGATTTGCTCAAAAATACTTTTAAGTTAATTTTCATTTTTGTTGTTTATTAACCCTTACCATGCTGAGCCCGTCATATGACGGGATGACCCAAACCACCGTTATTCGACTCCAATGGCTCTCCATACTTTTAGAGGTCAACTTTGTGATACTTATTTCGAAATTGATGCATGTTCCCTCAACCTGAGGCTATCTATTGTCATGTTTCTCATGTTTAAGTTGCATTTTGAGCTCAAATACGAACTTGGAAAATTGAAATCGGATAAAACTGGTTTTTCTAGAGGGGTGGGCTTCCCTTTTGTGTCTTACACAGGAAGTTCAGAGGCCTAAAACTTTCAAAAATAGTGTAAACCCGCAGGCATATATCTACTGATCATAATTATTATTGAAATACGCAGAGGAAACTACAACTTCCGATTTCAGGTCTATTTGAAGTCCAAAATCGGAAAAATCGTGAAATTCCGTATTTTTTGTCCAAATTGCCTTCTTTAGACTGGTGTTCCCAGATCAGTTTCAATACAACCTAAGAACTGTTGGGGTTAATGTGTTAACTGGGGTCCATTGTACATGCAGACTATAGCTGGATACCTATATCAGCATCCATCGGTCTTTGGGGTCACAAATAGGACGACAAATCGTCAAAAATCACCCCAAATACCCCGCCCCGTGATCCCCTACCTTAGATTTAAAGAAATCAATATGCTTCAGCAGCAGGGTAAAGCTCATTTGCATATAATTTACATATTTTTGCAAATAAACGAAAATTAGACTTTTTCTGAAAACAATTCAGCATGGTAAGTGTTAATTAAGAATGAATACAATTGCGGCCACTTCCATTTAAGACGGAAACCGTCTGAAATTTAACTCAAATGCTAAAATTGTGAAGATTTCAGTAATTTAGCATGACTGAATGATGCTAGTACCCGATATATGTGCATTGTATTGTCGAAAACAGCCCATATTTATGTAACAGAAGTATTCTACTTTCCCATAAATAGCTAAAAGTTTACATTTTAACAATTTGGTAAAACTGCTATATTTTGGGGCCAAAAAAGGGTCTTACTGGACCTACTCCTTTGTAAAATTGCATCAAATCTGATTTAAAATTTTATTTCTGATTTCAACACAAATGCCTTCAACAGCAGTTGTCGTTTTTATCAATTTATAATATCAACATCCATGTGAAACACAGTTTTCTACTATAAAATTATTACATTCATTAATATATGGGAAGTCAGTGCTAAAAGGAGCAAATCCACTTAGAATTGTACTATTAAATTCCATCCGAAATAGCAAACAGAACATTGCCACAAAGAAAGAAAAAACAACAATAGGAACCCTTTTGTTTTAAAACAAGTTCTATTTATATCCAGGCAGGTTCTGTTAAACGGATATATTTTAATGTGGTATTAGAAAGGATTATAAATTCAGATGGATAATTTGAATAATTATTTGAAAAGATCTAGATAATGTATAAAACTTTTAAATAAAAAATATATTTGTATTCTCTGTACAGAAAATACATTACTAAGAAGCGACATAAATTTGCATCCAAATCAATAATATCAAGGGCCTTATTTTGGCCCCAGAATATCAATTAAAAATGAGTCCAAATGACGTGAATTTAAGCATCTATTGGTCACCATAGGCTTTAACAATTAGCAAAACCCATACAGTACAGTCAGCTATATAAATCGCCTCAACATGACAACACGTGAACCAATTCAAACGAAAAAAAAAAGAGGAAAAAACAAGACAATTATTTCAAGAGATATAAGAAAGTGAAAAAGAGCAATTTTTGTCAAAAATTTTCTAATGACAATGAATGAAACGTTGACATTTTCAGCCGAAAGAGGCCAACAAAAGACATTTATGCGAAACTTGTCAAAGTCTTCTTAATTCTAAGCATATTTAGCCCTAGGAAACATACACCACCGCAGGGTTCGACATCCTTAATATTCAGGTCAGATATGTTATTTGTTATGAAAAAAACAAAAAGATACGATATCTTTTTGTTGATGCAAGTGTTGTATGTTTCTAGTATTGATAAGAATGAGAAATTCGTCCATTTCATTGAATAGGTGAACAATTGATACTGGTAATATTTTTCATGTATATTGTATTTTGACATTTTTTTTTCTATCTTGTCGTTGCTTTAACTTTAATACTGTTAAATGTGATAATAACTCTAAATATAAATACTAATTGAAAGGTAGCAAGAAATGGGGCCATTTAGGTACTTATCGAAACACTTTAGCCTTCATATTTCTTTTTTATGTATGATTTTGTTATACGACCGCAAAAACAATTTGCGGTCGTATATTGGTATCACGTCGTCGTCGTCGTCGTCGTCAGCGTCGTCCGAAGACATTTGGTTTCCGGACAATAACTTTAGTAAATCTAAATAGAAATCTATGAAATTTAAACACAAGGTTTATAACCACAAAAGGAAGGTTGGGGGTTATAGTCCTAACAGTTTAGGAATTAGTGGCCAAAAAGGGTCCAAATAAGCATTTTTTCTAGTTTCCAGACAATAACTTGTGGAACGGTGTGTGGATCTCTCTGAAATTATACCACAAAGGGATAGTTAGGATTGGCTTTTGGGGGTTATGGCTCAAACCGTTTAGGAATTAGGAGGAAAACAAGGGTTTCCTGGTTAATGGACAATTCAAAAAAGTACAATGTTATGTTTGGAATACCTCCCTTACACTGCTTTTAAATTATGTATAAAGAAATGTTGTATTGTCTTGAGGTGATTAGCTGTCAATTTATTTTTAGAAGTTACTATTTAAAAATGCTGATTAAGGAATATTAATTTTAGCTATGATTATGTATCTCATTTTCTATTTTAAGACTTTTATGATGTATTCAAAGGGGTAGTTATGGTTGCAAACTCCTTTGGAAAGGAGAAAGCTCGGTAAGGCCTCTTTTTGGCTTCAAAATATAGCATTTAAAAAAATTGTTGAAAACGAAAACTTTTGGCTATCACATGCATCAGGTACTAGCATCATTAATTCATGCAAAAATAATAAAATCATCACTATCTTATCATTTGTGCTAATTTTTGACGTTTTTTGTCTAAATTGGAAGTGGCCGCACTTGTGTTCACTCTTAATTATATGTTGTATTTGATGATTATACATAACAAAGGTTTAGACTGAACACGAATGCAGCCACTTCCAATTTTAGACAAAAAAACATCTGAAAAGTGACGTTTTGCGGCATATTTGATACAATTTCATATTTAAGTTTGAATTTAGGCGTCTTTAATGACCAAATCAGTTCAAATCCAAAACATTAACTAATTGAATCGATTGAAGAAGACACTTAAGTGTTTAAAAAATGTCAAAAATCTTTCATCAGATTTATTTCAATTTTTAGGCCAAAATAAGCCCTTACCGGTCCTTCTCCTTTGAATTGAGATTGTGACCATATCTTGAGGGAAACAAGTTTTTTTTTGGAAAAAGGGGGGGAGGTGAAAAATAATTGGAAGGGGGGAGGGGGGTGTAAAAACGAAATTGTGATGGGGGCACAATTTTTTCTCATTTCAGATTTCAGAAATTAAAAAGAAAATTTATTCAAATATTTGTTGCAAAAAAAAAAGGGAGGGGGTAATTATTTTTCTTTTTTTTTTTAATTTATTTTGGGGGGGGTCAATTCGCAACAGCATAGTATATTTCACAAAAGCAAAAAAAAAGGGGGGTAATTTTTTTAATTTTTTTTTTGGGGGGGGGGGGGGGAGTGGGTCAATTCGCAACAGCATAGTGTATTGCACAAAAGCAAAAAAAATGAATATAAATTCAAATAATATAACTAATTCTAAGTTCTTTGACTACAGTTATTCTGTGTCAGAAACCTATTATGTGTCAAATATTTAATTACAATCCAAATTCAGACCTGTATCAAGCGCGAATATTGTGTCCATTTTTTAGGTTGGACCTTTGCGGTCGTATCCAGCTGCGTTCGGCGAAGCAATTTATTGTACATAATGTGATAAAATTAGACTCAGTATGATTTTTCCATTTTACAGTACCATTAATGTCATTTTATAAATTAATGTATACTAGCTACTTAACAGAAATTTATTAAAAAAAATAATAAAATGTGCATGATTGATAATTTCTGCACGTCACAATTATTTTAGTTGATAATTTACAATAATATCTCGAGTCAAAATCGTTTGAGGCATATGAGGGTATTTACGGTTGTATTTTTTTCCCTTACAGAAAGCATGCAAAAACATAGGAGCAGAGTTGTTATACTCTAATTTTTTTCCTGAATGGGAACTTCCTATAGCGGCAATGTATGCAAATCATAGCAAGGTACGTATAAAAAGACACACCATTATTGTAAATTAAGGTTATAACAACGTATATGTATATCAGACAGTTTTAACAGGTTGAAAGAAATATATAACGTTTGTTTTAACAGGACACGGAGGAACAACAATATGATCAAATATACTTGTCTATTCTGATTTCATGTTATCTCTGATAGCATTCATGACAACATTCAGTGACAATCTATATCAATCTATAAAAACAAAGAGAAGATAATAATTAACATTCATGGCTAAAAAAATGGCGAAAAGACAAACAACAGTCCTCAATCCATATCACAAAATATTAAGCAACATGAACCCCTCCCAAGTGATAGCCTTAGTGCTTCCGAAGGGTAATACACTCATCGTGTACACAAAATGTTGCTCATAAAAATAAAAATCAGTAGTCGTTTCACAAAAAAAAACTAAGATTGATTGTTAGTAAACTGAATTGTTCATGACTTACGATCAATCTTAGACGTAAGAAACCGACTCCTGGTGATAAGCCGCATTGATTCGGTGACGTTACAATCGAAAAATGGAGGACGGAAGTTAGAAGTTATCCGTGGCCTCTAAATATTTCGTAGGAATTAATTTAACTTTACTATTAAAAACCTTTTGGTTAAATTTTTCCATAGACAGCAGGAATCGTGCATCAAGGAAATTAATTATTTTTGAATGATATGAAATGCAAGCGCTGGAATATCGTATTAGCTGGAAAATATAAAACTCCATTAACAGATCCTGCTGAAATAGTTTTTTTTATTTTCTAACCAGATCAAATTTCACTGGCTACTTAGTAGTTTGATCTCTTTTCGGGAATATTTTACTGGCCTGGCTTATGGCTTGTGGTAACTGGTTAATCGTAAAAAATGTTGCGGGAAATTGAAATTATCTATCAAGGATAATTCATTACAAAATAAAAAAAATACATAGTTAGACATTTTTGTTGCAATAGTCAAAGTATGTTTCTTTTGGTGGCGATATCATATTCTTGAACTGTACCAAAAACTATGGACTATCGGGTTTTCTGCATATTGATATCATAAAACAAGTATACTCTGACAAAATTTCAAACACTTCAGCTGTATTACAAGAAGTGAGAAATGGTAAATTTTGTTACATTTTGGTGTAATGGAATTTATATTTGGTTGAAATATCTAGTAGTTTCAGACAAAAAAGGGTCCAATCCTATATTTATACAAAGGAAGAGTTATGCTTACTACAAGTAGCATTGATTTTGTTTCGATTTAATCAAAACAATCTTAATATGTATAGCTTCACAGTTTTGAACACTTATTGTTCTATGTCATGTCGATACTTATATGTTGGCATTGCAAAAGCATTCTTTCCTCGGGCTGTTGGTGCCGTATTTATACTCATTCAATTGGATGTGTACTGATTGGTATGTTTAATTTAGGCTTATATCCAGTTGAAATTAAACAAAAGAAATGGATCTCTTTATTAGAGAAGGTAAAAATGGCTAAGTTTGTATATTTGAATTGTTTACATCTGTTTCGATAGCCTTTAAAAGTTTAATGTACAGTGTAAATTAAGAATTTGTTGCACCTTATATACGCGTTTACACTTAAATTAAAGTATGGAGCTTCGAGATCTTTGTAAACTTTGTAAATTGTAAGGACAAATGTTCACAGAACAGTTGATTATGGTTGGTGCATATTCATTTCGTCAATGTTTCTGTTACTGTATTTTTTTAACAAGGCGAGATAGTTGGTTTTGCGTTCAACCCCAAACCTGGAGGGTCAGTACTTTTAATTTGTTCTCGAGGTATCCGTGATCTTGAAAAGCTGTCTGCCAAGACTTACAGGCCTTTTGGGGTCCTTTATAGCTTGCTGTTCGATGTGAGCCAAGGCTCCGTGTTGAAGGCCGTACTTTGTGACTTGGATTGAGAATTGTCTCATTGGCACTTGTATCACATCTTATTTCTACCTTTCTTACCGATTTGATTTTGGAGTGATTCCTTCTCCTAGATGGGTTGCTTTTTTTGGCTTACGACTCCCATCTGTCCGGCTATTTTCCCATATCTGGGGCAAGGTTGATGAGTTCAAGGGCGTGTCCACGCGCCGGTGGGCCTAAACACTGCATCCCTGGGGCCCTTGCTGTTCCGAGATCCTCTACAATTATGTCTAGGATGCTGGACCCTAGTTACCATGTGCTCTCGCGAGGAGGCATCGCAGAAGTCTTGAATAGTGTAGAGGCTATGTACTGGCAAAAAAGTCTTACTCACTCGGCTTTCTTCTCACCTGCAAAGCAGGCTTGCCAGCAGTGGTAAATGAGCCTATGGCTCCAAACCACATTACACGCATACACAATCCTGTGTTACAAACTACAGCCCACAATAGCATATGCTCCCCGCAGAGGCTAAGGGCATAAGTAGGTAAAGTAAATACATTTGGATCTTTAATGTGCATAAGCATAAATTCCACCGAAAAAATTGATATGCATATTTTTGTTTTAAATCATTTTTTTGTGTGTGTTATCGAGGAGCCTAGTAAAGCATGCTCATTTGCTAGTTACTTTAAGCTCACATTACCCACAGTACAAGTGTGATCCTTTGACATCATTTGGCTTCCATCATGGTATCTGTTGGGGTGTTTTCCTGATTGTCCCACTTTTTGAAATTATAGGTAAAAAAGTAATGAAATTGTGTAGGACAATCGGGAATTGTTTTAATAGTAATTGACTTGTTTTTATAGTTCGTTTCACGTAATTAGAGTTAACTAATCAATGTAACTTGTATAAATAGAATATGAAATAAACATAAAATAATAATAATATTTAAATATTTTATTTTGCACATATCAGGTACAATTGAAGTAGAAGTATCAGCAAACATGGATTATGATATCAAGTCGTAAAACAGAACATATTAAGCACTATAAAAAACAGATATCATAAAGCACACACAATGAATGCAGAAGTTCAACAATGAAGCACACTCACATAAAACAACATTACCATCACAACAGTAAACACATCATATAATTGAAACAACTTTAGTCAAGTGTAACAAATAAGAGGCAATGATAGCATACTGAAACAAACTAACCATAATGAAGACGTTCTTTTAGTTCCTGTAGACGTTGATTGAGTTTTGTGTATTTTCTTTTTTTTTTTTGTTTGTCGTACTCTCCCAGCTTGGTATTGAATGATTGTCACTTTGTTTGCTATCTGCTCTACCTTTAGGTAGTTGGGTAGATTGTATATGCTTGGCTGTAGTACTTGAATCATCTTCTTCATGCTGAAGTACCATCCTTTGATGCGGGTCGTCGTCCTTAGTCCTTCTGTTTGGTACTGGTTCTATACCTGCGTGTTGCTTTCAACCCAATATGATGTGACGTAGTCAGTAAACGTAGTAATATTTGCTGTTTAGTCCGAATTTTCAAGGTCTCAAAATCCATGGAACCAGACGTCTTCTATTTCTACATGTTTTGCCAAAGGAAAAACTGCTGCCCTGCGTATAAGTTGCTGAATGTCTAGCTCTCCATTTTAGATGGGGACGAGTCCAGCTGACTGCACTTTTCGCCAAAAACACCTTTAACTGTGATTTCTGGAGGGAATGATCTGACTGAATTCTGGACAACAGCTATGTAATCATTGAAGATAGTTGCTGGGTTCAGGTGAATTTGACGTTGGGTGCAAGCAGTAGTGTAAAGAATTTTTCTGTAAATGTCCTTTAACTTCCCTGGTAAAAGTGTAAATACTATTGGAAATTTTTCTCCATCAACCAGTGCATGTAGAGTGTACAGCTGTTCAAAGAGTGACGAAAAGGGGTAGAAAGTACCATCTGCGTAGATTGTGTTGTTGTTGTTTGCTAAGTTGTTGTCAGTTGGGAATACAAATATTTTATCGTAGGTACCATCATTGATGAGAAGGAATCTTTCAGTAGCAGTGGTCTGGGTACACTCGTTCTAAATGTAAACTAATGTGCACTAGAGATGTTGGTAGATGTGATATGAGGTCATCTCGCTGACGATAAAGACTGAACTTAAAAGAGATGGGAAAGTTCAACCATCCGTTTAATTAACCAGAATCAAGCTGGCAGCCACTTTTAGCAGGCAATCAAGATAGCAGCCACTTTTTCCAGCAGCAAACTTTGATGATATTGTTGGAAGTAACTCATAAACGTAACGTTCTCGCTGCCGCTATTCATTGTAACGTCACCTAAGTGTGACGTATTGACATCAGAGTTTGAATAGAGATCCATACATGCTAGATGCCTTTGTTATTGTTAGCCTTATAGTTGCCCGATTTACCCACTGCACGATATTGGTGCCAAGCGACCAGGATGAATTTGAAGCCGAAATCGATACGTGCAGGACATAGAAGCGCCGTTTTAAGAATATGTACTTGGTTTAGAATCCCTTGGTCAGACAGAGGATACCTATGGCTCATTATTGGTCCCTATCATATTGAAAAAGTTACCGGGAGACGTACGTATAAATTTAACAAGACACCATGGTTCAACCAGTTGGCAATTATCTGACCTACGACAAGTGATATTTCACGAACTCAATATTATGGAGGAAGGCAATTCCGCTGATTTTACGGAAAATCATACCGCTACTGCAGCATTTCATACCAATGCAAAGGTACGTACTAAACCAGTCAACAGACAAATGAAAGTAAAGTCATGCGCATTTTGTCACGAATCACACGCCGCCGTTAACTGTACTACGATTATTGAACACAAAGCAAGAATTTCCATTGTTAAACGGGATCGTTTGTTTTAACTGTCTAAGACATCACATTGTAGCTGATTGCAAATCACACCAAAGTTGCAGAAAATGTAAAAAACGGCATCATACTAGTTTATGCAAAGACGAGGTACAACAAGAAGAAAAACAGAGTAACACTAAGGTAAATATTAGCACAATTCATGAAACACAACACAACGCGAAGGAAACGGGCACAGTTCTTCACTCACAGGCACAGACCAATGTTTTACTTAAAACTGCCGTAGCGCAAGTAAGTTCAGGC